TTTTATGGATTATTCACATGAATATTTCACTCCCCTTCGAAAGATTACCAACAAAAAAAAAAAAAACAATCAGGATGGCAACGATGGGATTTAAACAAAAACAAAAATACATTGAAAAAAAAAAAGAATGCTAAATAAGAAAGAGACAAGACAAGGTGGGTGCAGCAAGCCCTTACCCTGCACGCATTGTCATCAGAGAATGCAGATAATGCCGCGTGGTTAACTGACCCAGGTCCCCTTCGAAAGATTACCAACAAAAAAAAAAAAAAAACAATCAGGATGGCAACGATGGGATTTAAACAAAAACAAAAATACATTGAAAAAAAAAAAGAATGCTAAATAAGAAAGAGACAAGACAAGGTGGGTGCAGCAAGCCCTTACCCTGCACGCATTGTCATCAGAGAATGCAGATAATGCCGCGTGGTTAACTGACCCAGGATCTCCCTCAAGGCTCTATCTAATTCCTCCTCTGCATGCCTTTCTGCTCTGAGGTGCCAAAACACACACACATCATCAGTGGACGACAAAAGTCAACGAAATTAAATGTACGAATGAAATGAAATTCCAAAAAACAAAAAAAAAAAATTACAGATGCGCCAGACGTGACGCAAACAAACAAAATGACCAAAATGCGCAGCGGGTGGGAAAACCACACAAATAACGCGTTGAAGGGCTGCGCAAAATGCAACAAAAACTCAATCCGAATAGATTTCAGAGTAATAATAATAATAATGATGGCGAGAATGAAAAGAAATACCTCTTGTCGGTGGGGTAGTAGAGTGCGTAGCCGCCGCCGTCGTCGTTGAAAGACGCCGCCGCGCTGCGCAAGGCGAGGTGGTCGCCGTCGAAGCCCAACTCGCCCAAGGAATTGCCGTCCTCGTCGAACGCGTCGTTGTCCAGCCTGCGCGAGAGCCGCCCAAAAATAAGCACCGCGTCCAGCACGCTCCCGTTTAGGAAAAAAAAAAATTCCAAGACGTCAAAAAAAAAAAAATAAACCGCACACACACACTCTCACATTTGAAAGGGTCAAACGCGGGACCTTATTTTTCGTTTTTATTCGCCTTGTTCTTAATTTCCAAGGTAGAAGCCGTCTCCCCCGTTCATTCATGATTTCAAAAAAAACCATAAAAGTGGCCAACACCAAAGAAAACCAAATGCTAATAATTAGATCAAGTCATTCCATCCAAAAAACAGGAATTAAATGGAAAAGGAGAATTAAAAGCTTTCCGATTCGCTTGTTGGCTTCCTTTCCTTGGTGACGCATCCTCCCTCCTCTTCCTCCTCCTCCCGAGGGCTATCCATTGCACTCTCATTTTTAATGTGGTGGGGGGGTGGGGGGGTCACAGAAGGGGTCCCACTGGACAGATACCTCCACGCAAATTTCCACACTAATATGTACTGTCTCCTTCCCCTATTTTGGACTGTTTTTTTTTTTTTTGTTGTTTTTGTTTTTTTTCGTCGCGCGCAACCCCGCACGCCCAAGTGCGCTTTCACGGCGAATCCACACGTGCGTGCGCCCTTGAACTCATGCATTTAATTGGCCGGCATATTTCAGATGTGCAAAAGCGACCTACCTGATTTTGGGGTAACTTAGTCCGAGAGGTGTGCAGGAGACGCTGTAGTGCATTAAGATTCCGTAGATGAGCAAGATGAAAGTGGCTTTGCTCGAACTGGCCATGCTGGAATGTGACACAAAATGTGCGTTTTGTGTTAGTGCAGGTTTTTGTTGTTTTTTTTTTTTTTTGCACGAGCTGGTGTGGAAGGAAGGGCTGGGGGACGACAAACTTTGTTGGATTGACTTTTAGTGAAGGCTCCAGACGAGGAGGAGTTGCGCCTTACCTCCAAGCCGGGAAGCGGAGCCTGCTGCTGCTGCTGCTGCTGCTGTTGCTGGGGTGGGATCCGGGCGCGGCTTGCCTGGTGCGATGATGCACTTGTCTCCTGCTTCGTTTAACGTCCCCCCCTCGCATGCACTTCTATCTTCATCCGGATAATAATAATAATAGTAAGAATAAAAACGCGCACGCAATGAAGTGTTCTGCTGCGCAAAAATGTAATTTCCGCCCCACCAACCCAAAAAAAAGAAAAACCAGCCGTCAGCAGCTCCTCTCCGGATGTCCTCGAAACTTTTTTGTGTGCCCCGATCGCCTTGGATTTTTATCTTTAAGTATCCCTCCCTCCCTCCCTCCTCCTCATCCTCCCTCCCTCCAATAAGTCACGTTAAGGATGCTATGGACGTCATCAAGCCTTCCTCCTGCAGGAATATAATGGTACAGTTCCTTCCTCGTGCGTTGCATTCGTCACACATCTCCGGTCCACCCACCCTGCGAACGCAGCCTCAGTCGAGAAGTTTTCTCGCAAACTTTCGTGATTGCTTTATTTATTTATTTATTTATTTCCTGTTCACATTCGTGTTAAAGGGGGAGTTTTGGTCCCTATGGGCAAAGTTCTTCTGGAACCATTCATCCACCCATCCGTTTTTTAATCCGCTTATCCTCAAGAGGGTCGCGGGCGTGCCGGAGCCCATCCTTGGCGTCATCGGGCGGTGGGGGCGGGGGTGGGGCATACCTTTCGCCGTAGAACAACCGTCCACAATCACAATTTAGAGTGTTTCGTTAACCTGCTGCAGGCATGTTTTTGGAATGTGGGAGGAATATATACAGTATACCCGGAGAAAACCCACGCAGCCACGGGGAGCGCATGCAAACTTCACACAGGAAGGGCGGAGCCGGAATCGAACCCTGCGCCTCTGCACTGTGAGGCCAACGAGCTCACCGGTCGATCACCGCGATTAAAATATAATAATAATAATTACATTCTGGTTTTGGAGCTTTTTATTCCAGAATTGCATCACAGCGTGCCTAAAATGACATCTGTAGTGTCCACAGCCCTCCATTTTTCATGATTATTATCGTTAGATGTTTTATTTTCTTATTTTAATGTTCGTGTTATTTTACGACTTTCATGAATTGTTTTCAAGGCTGAATTTTTATATTGTTACGATCTTATAATTAGGAGAATGGATGAATGGATGGATTTTTAATGATACCAAAGTCCAACACTGATAGTGTATTTCATTGATTTGTTTCATTTTTAGGCATCGTCAGTTTTTATATTTGATCATACGACACTCATACTACCTCTTTAATTATAATTCATTGTATTTGTTTGAACAATTACCATGCTCGACTCATGGCACGTCTATGTATGTTTTTAAAATTATAATTGCATTTTCGTATTTAAGTCAATTCAAAAGAGCATTTGTCCATACTTAATTGAATCAACTTATGTATTTAGTTTTTATGATTGTATTTCAGGTACCATTCTTTTTTTCGTATACATGCTGAACTCACACTTTGTCGCATTTTCATCGAAGCGTTGACTTTTATGAATTGCACTTTTTTTCTTTTTTCATTCTGCACTCATGCACCACAATATACCACATCACGTCATCAGCAGCAGCATCATCAGCATCATCACCACCAGTAAATCCAATTAAGTGTTTTATCTGGAGTGGGTAGAAGTGCTTCCCAGTTTTGTGTGGGACTAAAAGCTGCCCCACTGGCCCCAAATAATCACCATTCCCCAGGAGAGTCATTTCTCTTGAATTTCTTGGAATTTACACTCACCTTTCCGAACAATACTGATAACGGCCCCGAACGCAAGTCTATGAGGCCCTGCGGGTGTGGGTGAAAGAGTGAAGAAGAGGGGCGCGTCTTGTGGGGGGGGGTTCAGGCGTTCATCCATTCAAGCGCCATGTAATCGGATTGGAGCGGGCCTTTGACGCACGGTTCCTTTTGAAAGAAACCTCCAATCGAGTTGTGTGAATCATCCGAATAAACCAATTGACGCGTCAGAAACGACACAAAATCCCCTTCCAGCCAGAGAAAGGCCATTATGCAAGACTAATTCACCCAAAGCCTACAAAGTGGATTTGAATTAGAAGCTTTTTTCTTATACTACTGTATGTATGACTACTGTATGCTGCACTTTGCGGAGCAATTACGTCATTACGTTCAGTCTGACGCGACGTGACAATGAAAGATCCTCACGAACGGGATGCAAATATCCCGCCCAAACCATCACCGCCACCTAATTTGGCCGCGGATTGCACCGAGAAGTGATCGCGCACGCTCACAATCGAGGAATGAGTACACGGCGCCACCACCAGGACAAAAGGGGAATGAACCACTATCTATCTATCTATCTATCTATCTATCTATCTGTCTATCTGTCTATCTGTCTGTCTGTCTGTCATAAAAAGTCCACACACACCGAATCCAATGCCAGGTTTTGGGTTCTGCGAAAAAATGAGGCCAAAACAAATCATTTAAAACATCTATTGATCCACCCATATTCTCGTCTGCTTATCCTCACGAGGATCACGGGCGTGCTGGAGTCTGATCCCAGCTGTCGGGGTACACCCTGAACTGGTTGCCAGCCAATTTGCCACAATCACACCTAGGGACAATTTAGGGTGTTCCATTAGCCTGCCATGCATGTTTTTGGAATGTGGAAGGAAACCGGAGTACCTGGAGAAAACCCATGCAGGCACAGGGAGAAAATGCAAACACCCCACAGGAAGGCCGGACCCGGAATCGAATCAAATCCACTAGACTAGAGGGAGAGAGAGAGAGAGAGAGGATGAATGGATACATGCCTCCCAAAGAGCTTTCTGTATAGCTACAGTTGAGCTCATAAATTGATATTCCCCGAGGGTTTGGAAATTTATGAGCACAACTCTATCGATCTATCTATCTAGTACTGTACAGAGGGACAATGTCATTTTTATTTTATTATTTTATTTCAGGGTGAATAAATCACGAAAGGATGATTATGATTAACGTATTGACAATTTTCTTTTCTTTGAAGTGAGTACAGTACAGTACGGTTTGTATTTTTGCACAAAAGCGAACTCTTCATGCCTCTAGGGAGCGCCAGATGATTGGAAATGGAGTGTTCGGCCGAGACAGCGCCCTCACCCACTCGATCCCAAAAAAGAGAGACAAAAAACGCGAAGCCATAACGCGCGTGTTCACATTGACAAAGTAAAGTTTCTAAATGATACAATCCGATGTCTACTTTCAAATATTTAACGACTTTAGCGTTTGCACATGTCGGCCATATTTGACGCAAGGGAGTTGGGATCATGAGACGTTTAAGTGTGTGTGTGTGTGTGTGTGGGGGGGGGGGATTAGACTAAGATCATGTCCCTCACTCTCTGCAACTGTTAAAAATGTAAGGTAATTTAGAGTAAGTCCTATGAAGAGGCAGGATATTGTCTCGTTGATAATGTGTATGGTCATTGTGCTTTAGACGGAGTATGAATCTGAGTAGCATAGTGTACGAGTTTGAAAGTGAGTACGTGAACGCCTCGTGATTCCCTCTCTGGCCCCGGTGGCTACTAGCCGGGCTATTGTCGTGCTGGTCCAATTCGCTAAACTCGGACATTTTAAAAAACATTTTCGCCGGCTTTTCTCCTTTTTTTACGCAAACCAGTCGACACAAAGTGACCCTTTTCGCTCCCTTTTTGTGCGTGCGTGCGTGCGTGTGTGGCCCCTCCAATTTGGGACGTGAAAATAATCAAGTGGAGGACGACGAGACGCATGTAGCCGGATTACGACGCTGCTGAGGTCGCTTGGAAAGAGGTGAGCGACGAGCCCTCGAAGTGGGGAAGTCTCGTTTGGAGTGTGTGGGGAGGGAGCGAGGCCTGATAGTAGTTTTTTGTGTTGCCCGACACACCAAAAGTTGGGGATCGTGTCATTTTCCTCATTTGTGCGTGTTTGGGGGTTGACGCCGGTACTGGAATTTGTTGGCTTTCCCAGTTCCCACAAACCCGGCAAGGACGAGCTCACGCTGTTGAAATTGTTCATTTAATTATGAATTACCCAAAGCGCTAAATTTGATGTTTCTTGTTTTCAGTTTAATGTTCCAATGTTTTGTGCCTTACCCTACCCAAGCCCCCCCCCCCCTGCCTCCCTCATCTGTTGCGAACCTTTTCCCAGCTCGATCATCGTAAACAAAGCCCATATTTGGAGTCGTTTTATTGCAATTGTTTATGCATGCAAAGTAGCCAAGTACCACCGTTGTTAGAAGGGGGCGAGCGTGTGTCACTATAACGTCCACTCTTCCTGTGTTTGAACACTCCAGTTCCGTGGTAATCCTCCTCCATGTTAATCCCTCTGTATGTACTGTCCAGTCCCACTCTGATGGATTGCCATGTGACACACACACACACACACACACACACACACACACACACACACACACACACACACGACCAAAACCACACAGCTGGACTATGTAAGTAGGTGAGGAGGACTAACGGGTGTCACTGGCCCAGTGTCATGTACTTAAACAGGAGGTGTGAAGGATCCTCTGGGCAGATCAACCCCACTTTGCTGTGCCGCCATGGAATGCAACTACAAGGCTGGATTTACACACTCCGGGTGCAAGTGCCCAATTCCGATTGAATGCCGAAATCCCATCTCGTTCCATGCACTTTTAAAGTGACATATATTGAATCGAGTTACAGTATGTTTACACTGACAGAGCACATGAAATCAGCACCTAATTGCGCAGAATTAACCCCCACACGTGTCAAATAATATGAATGACTGAGCTCACTCCCCCATTGATTTACATGAGGGCAATTGTGTGTTTGTATCGCTTAATGGACTGTTAAAACAAAAACGCACCTGTTGCAAGGTTTACCTCAACGTCCAGTTCCCGAAGCTACTTTAAACGCTATGTTCCAGGCAGCCTCATTTCAGGTGACTGTGGATAAAACAGGATGGTCACAAATATAGTTGTGTGTGTGTGTGTGTGTGTGTGTGTGGTCTGGAACATGAACATTCGGGTTAAGAATCGGTATGTGTACACCGATGAAGAGTGTCGCTCCATCCCAAAGTGGCAACAAGGGGATGCTTTGCTGCGTTTATGGCGTGAAGATGCCTCTGCAGGTGGCCTCATTGATGTGAATGGGACACGGAAGGATGTCCCCTCAGCTAGCCTCCCCCTCAGCCCCCCCAAACCACCCACCACCACTTTCCCGGGTGATTGGCAGTCAAAGCGCCTCCGAGCACGTGCCGCGGTGACGACCGAGTTACGCTTCGGTGATGCTCTTATAGCATCCGACCGAGGATCCCGGGTGATTGGCAGTCAAAGCGCCTCCGAGCACGCGCCGCGGCGACGACCGAGTTACGCTTCGGTGATGCTCTTATAGTCGCCGCGCTCGTGTCCGACCGAGGGCGTTTATCTTCCAATGAAAGATGGCTGTTGACCCGGTGCTGTTTTTACAAATGGTGTAACCGTATGGGACATGAATGAAAATACGGGACACGACAGCGACTGACCAAATAAGGAACAATTCCACATTTTACGGGACGGTTGGCAAACCAAGTAGTGGTAGTTTATGGACTGGAGCGTGAGGCCGTTTCACTTCCCATTGCTCACCGAATATTGAAGCAAACGAGACTTCAAAGTGCTGAACATTTTAGCCTCATAATCCAGTTAAGGTTTGGGTGAGCTGCACCAGCATTTACAGTCTGTGAATTGCACTGTTCAAAGGTCGACCGGCTGCTCCCAGTTTCCCCGACTGGCATCTTATCTGCTCGGTCGTAAGAGCAGAGTGTTGAGGCTGGGGGGGGCGAAACGAGTCCTCGCGCCATCCCAAGTGGTTTGGTTGTGCAAGTGGACCTAATGCTCCGCCAAAGTATTTCTTTTTGGAATACAGTATAACAGTGTGAATTTTTGCATTTGCGACGCTCGTGTCGTTCTTTTGCATTTGTCACTCTGAACTTACAACGAAGTCCCTTGCATCCAAAATATTCTCGGCGACTCCGTATGGAGGCAACAGTGCGCATGCTGATCAAGTGTTTTTTGTCTTGGCCGCTAAAACAAAAGCTTCCCTGCTGCCGCTTTTCCTGTGGGAAGCGGCGGCATGGGTCTCCGTAATCTGACGCGGCGTGCCGGTCAATCTGGCAAACGTCCAGTCATGCGGCCTCGGACAGGGGGCCATTTGTTTGGAACGCGGGCTTGTACGCTATACCTATGTGTCGTCGTGGTTACTGCACTGATACGGTAAAAATGCCTTTACCACCATGAATATTGATGCAGAATACTGCAAAAATCCAAATCAAAATGGGGCAATGCATGCGATCTGCTCGATTCTTCAGTCTTTGAATGTCTCTCAGGGTTTTTCCTGCGTTCAGAATGACGTGGCGGCCGCCTCCGGCAAATCTTATGCCGCCCCCCCAGCCAGACCGATTGATATCGTTCAACGCGGCGTCAAGCTGGAGTCGCGCTCAAGCCATCGTGAAATGGGCTGGCTGAAGAGGATGCTGTCAGCACCACACCGCACTTGAAGTGTTTATCTGATCCTCGTGGGAAGAGGGAGTAGGATTACCTCATTTGCGGGGAGTCCTTGAAGTACAGATAAGAGAAATGCGAACGTCTCGTATATCAACGAGGAGAGGGGCGATACGGTGCTTCCCCCCACCCCCCGCTTGTCTTAAATCTGTGTCAGTGAAACGGCCACAGGCTGTAAGGATTTTGTTTCCACCTCGGATGACTGCGCAGCCTTTTGTTTGGGATGTCAGGGGAGGTTGTTGCTTGGCCTGTGGTGAGCCCTCGTTTTTGCACTGCTTGTGTGACCTCACTGTGCTGTGTACAACATTTTCTCCGGGCTCAAAGAGGAGTCACTGCAGTAGATTGACTCCATATATATTGAAAGTAAAAATTGTAACTCAAGATGTAATACAATACTTTTTTTTTAGTCAATAACATCACGATACAGTGATTGCATGAAAAAAAAAAATCGGTGTGCATTTTTCGCTGCATTTCATCCCTGCTTGACTGACTTTCTTGCCCGGTGTCCCCCTCAGGCTTGACGATGGGTTGCGTCCGGAGCAAAGAGGACAAAGGCCCGGCGCCGAAGTACCGTCCAGACAACGCCAACAACGCTCCGGTCAACGCCCACCTGGGCCACTACGGCCCCGAGCCCACGCTGATGGGCCACTCGCCGGCGGCAAAGACGCTCAACAGCGGCTACAACAGTCACGCCTCCGCGCTCACCCCGTTTGGCGGCGCCTCGTCCGCGATGACGCCTTTTGGCGGCGCCTCCGCCTCCTTCGCGTCGGTGGCCGTGAGCGGTCCCTTCCCCGGTGTCGTCACAGGTCAGTTTACGCATCGTTGCAGAAGCCCTCTTCTTCAACCGGGCGCTAATTTAATGGGGTACGGAAAAGGATCGGGGGTACCGCCCTGGGCCGGTCGCCAGCCAGTCAGAGGGCTCAGTTTGCCAAACAACCATTCCCACTCACCTTCACGCCGATGGGCCGAGGTATGCGTGATTTGGGGATGTGGGAGGGAAGCGCAAGTACCCGGAGACGCGGAAGGCCCGAGCAGAAATTCAAATCCGCATCCATGAGGCAGGCGTGCTAACTGCTGATTCGCCAATCAGCCTGATCAATTTATTGCAGTTGTGTAATGAACGTCTGAAATTTGACATTTCAAATGAAGGAAAACTGTCTTGAGCTTGGAGCAAGTTCATGAAGATGCCTTTGCTGTGTATAAATAGTAGTTCTTAGATAAGGATCACAACAAAAAAAATATGCATGACATGGGAAGCATACGTGGCCTCCAAAGCAAATTGTCCATCCTCCATCCTTGCAATGTTGCTCTTTATCGTCTCTGGCGTTGGACTTGATGTCGATTTGATAGGATCTTCCGGCAGCGTGAGTGACGAACACAAACCCATACAAACACACACACTGCTTGTTGGCTCTCAAGGAGGATAATGTGACCTGAGGGAACGCCGCCCTTCTAATCCTACCCGCTCAATTTCCTCTGTGAAGATAAACATTTCGGAGTCCAGTTGTCGCTTCGCACTAGTGTGTCTGACTCTTTATTGCAGCCATCATGTAGGTCATGTGACCTGTCATGGCCCACCGAGCAAGCGCAGTGACTCAATAATGATGAGACTCAACCAGTGTCATTTCTTTACTGTTGTGAAATATTTCAGGGTGCTTTTTTTTTTTTTTTTTTTTTGTGACCACTTTTTGCCCAAGTTAACTAACTTCAGGTCACCCTGACCCTTTGTCCGCCAAACGTAGGCCCGCCCTCGGGCCCCCGACAGCAAGTGGCAAAATGGCCTTCCCCCGAGATGGACCAAATGGGGTGGATTTTGCCGCTTAATTCATATTCTGCAAATGCAGGATTCATCTTAAGACGAGTGGGAACTGATCGAACGCTTGCTGAAGAAAACCTTTTGACTTGACTTCCCCTTAACTGAAATAAAGCCACTCTGTACGCAGAGTGACGCTGCTTGTTAACAGTAACACGCCTCTGTTGCTCTTCATCTTGCCTTCAGGTGGCGTCACATTCTTCGTGGCGCTATATGATTACGAAGCGAGGACGTCCGACGATTTGTCCTTCACAAAAGGCGATCGCTTCCAAATTATCAACAACACGTGAGTGCCTGTGCTTTTTTTTTAGTTTTTAATCTGGACATCCCCTCTTGCTGTGCGCGTGTGCACGTACATTTGTTTGCGTTTAATCTGTTTTTCGCTTTGGTCCGCTATTAAGGCCGAAATCTGTTTGGGTTAATGTGCTTCTCTGACCGGGCCATCTGTTCTCATCACTTTCAGCATGTTTGACTCTGCGCCGTTGAAAACAACAGAGCGATGCGTTTGCAATTGGGTCTCCGTGACAGCCCTCGGGTCGGTCGACGCGCTTGTTTGCGTTGAAAATCCCACTGAAGGCTTCTCCTCTCCCTCTAGCGAAGGTGACTGGTGGGAGGCTCGTTCCATCAACACGGGACAGAAGGGTTACATCCCCAGCAACTACGTGGCCCCCGCTGACTCCATACAGGCTGAAGAGTGAGGACTCCTTTCTTTCCGCCCTCTCGTCCTTTCCGTCTGATCCTCCCGTCTATTTTCAACCCGCTCGGTCTCATAAATGCTTGTCCGCGGTCACGCCGGGACGGCCCGTCGTGTACTCATGCAGAGGCTAAACAATAGTGCCCTGTGTTGAGAGTTGCTGGCAAACCCAAGGCCGGGGTTACCATATTGTTAGTGTGTGTGTGTCTGTGTGTGTGTGTGTGCACTCTTGTAATTACACATTTGAAGAGATCAAATCACATGAGCACACCACTGTTCTTTCAACAGATGGTATTTTGGCAAAATGGGCCGAAAAGATGCCGAGCGGCTTTTATTAGTTCCGGGCAACCAGCGAGGTACTTTCTTGGCACGAGAGAGTGAGACAACCAAAGGTAAAAAAGAAGAAATAAAGAACTAAAAAATAAACCCTGCATGTTGACATCACATCAGATCTTCATTTTTATGAATTATTACACCGTACGTGCATGTAACTGTTGACATTGTGTGATTTAATTTTTTTTTTTTTTTTTAAGGCGCCTACTCTCTGTCCATCCGTGACTGGGACGAAGTCAAGGGAGACAACGTGAAACACTACAAAATACGAAAGCTTGACAGCGGCGGTTATTACATCACCACTCGGGCTCAATTCGAGACGCTACAGAAGCTGGTCAAACACTACACAGGTGGGCATCGTCTGCCGCCAGCCAGCGTCTCGCCAGAGTTCTGTTTACTGCACAACTATACAAGCAGTCCCCGAACATGATATCTCTTACTCTATTCAGAGTTGAATGCAGCATGTGTAGAGGCGCTGAATTATTCAGCCGCAGGTCGGCCGCCGCGCTACGCATCCTCTTCACAGGATTTATCGTCCGTCTTCCGTGCGCGCCCCTTTTCCAGAACACGCCGACGGTTTGTGCTACAGGCTGACGACCGTGTGTCCCACGGTCAAGCCGCAGACTCAGGGACTGGCCAAGGACGCGTGGGAGATCCCCCGAGAGTCCCTACGGCTGGAAGTCAAGCTGGGCCAGGGCTGCTTCGGAGAGGTCTGGATGGGTAAGACGTCGTGTTTGCGTCGTATAACGGATAGTCGATCATAAATGAGTCAACGGGGCTTACGGCGGGAAATGAAGCGTCTACTTTATAGCTCATGTATATTTAACAGGGAGGAATGGTTATAGCCCCGCTTACAGGACCATCAAATCTTTGGAGTTATGGAGCTCAGCAAAGAGCGAGCCTATTTATCGGCCAAAGCGCTGACGGCCGCGGTCCGTTGACGCCGAAAGGCGCACGCGCGCACACGAACGGCGGGTGGTGCTCCTACGCTTCACTTTGCCGGCGTGCATCCTCCTCACTCACTCCCTCATTTGGCCCGCAGCAAGCCTCGACCTGCAAGCGTGCAATGCCAGGAATTCCCGCGCCCGCCGGCTTCTTTTTTAATTCTTCTGATTATTCTTTTTCTCTTTGTGCTGCCGCCCCTGCTGATTATTCTCTTGGTGTCTTCACTGATTGTTAATTCCACATTTGTTCATCATTGCGCGTGACCTCCATTCCTCTGTGTTCTCACCACCTTGCGCTCATTATTAGCATTGCCCTACTTTGTCCTTTGCTGTGTGCGTGCGTGCGTGCGCGCGTGTGATTCATTCATGGAGGTCGGCCCTCATGACGGAAGCGCCGGCCGGCTCTCCCGGCTTGTTGTACGTAAGCGGGGCGTGAGTAAGTGGCTCTCGACCAGGAAGTGTGATGTTATTGCTCGCCAACTTTACCGGCTGTTTGAGAAATGACCATCCGTGATGTGGAGTTTTCGACAGTTTTCTCTGGACCGTGTTTACGTTGTGTCGGATAAACAAGTGTTTTCCCCAATACGGAACTTTTGACTCGGGTACTATACCTGCATCACATGGATGGATTGATGCGGAACAATGTTTATTTCAGCAATTTAATGTGCAAGATAGTGTTGATGATATCTCAACCCCCCTACCTACCCCTCCCTCCCTTTCATTCAGGCACATGGAACGGCACCACCAAGGTGGCTATCAAGACCCTGAAGCCGGGCACCATGTCCCCGGAGGCCTTCCTGCAGGAGGCTCAGATCATGAAGAAGCTGCGACATGACAAGCTGGTGCCTCTCTATGCCGTGGTGTCCGAAGAGCCCATCTACATCGTCACCGAGTTCATGGGCAAAGGTCGCTCCCCGACCCGACTGTGTTCCCCAACCTCTTCCGAGGCAAAGCGCTGCCACATAGTGTTAGCTTAGCAACTCGAGCCGACAGCCCGACGACACATACCCTCTCCTTAGCGGGCTCTATTGTGGAAATGCTATTTGTCTTCAATGACTCTGCAGCTGCGATAGGCGCCAGCACCCGACCCTTGTGAGGATCAGAAAATGGATGGATGGATGTCTGTCTGTCGAACAATGAAAACCACTTGGTTGTTCATTATTATGCGGAAAAAAATGTTGCCATCTGTATTTATAACCATGCACAAAAATATATTTTTTTATTTTTATCCGGATACTCGATTATTCAGTTGATGATTCTGTAGGATATCCAAATACCAAAATATTTGAGAGTTGCAGCTCAAATGATCTATTTTTTTTTTTTGTTTTAATGTTCATGCCATGTCATCTCTTCCAGGGAGTCTGCTGGACTTCTTGAAGGAGGGAGACGGCAAATACCTGAAGCTACCCCAGCTCGTGGACATGGCCGCACAGGTAGGATGCAAAGACAGGCCTCTGCTTGCTAAACTGCCAAGGAATATGTGTGAAAAAAAAGCTCGTGAGTCAGTGCCGTGCGAGGTTCTCCGTGCAGGTTGTCATATTTATTTAATATCCACTTGACATCTCTCTTGGCCTTCCGCCATCACTCCGTGCGCCTCCTGTCGTCCTCCGACTCGGAGCCGCCTGCGGAGCCTAAGCGCTCCTCATCAGAGAGCCACTTAAGTCCCACAATGCCACCTTCGCGTGCTACGATCCGCTTTCACTTTGCCCTGCCGCACTCCTCCCCCGCTCAACCACGTGAAGTGAAAAAAAAGAAAGAAAATGAAGGTGGAGGGAGGCGCCTGCGGTCGGCTCCGAAGGGGGTTGGCAGACAAAAGATGTTTTGAATTATTAGGAAATGAACAAGCCTGCATGAACTTGATTAGCACTATCTGGCATCTGTGGTGAACCCTCGCCATGATGGAACAGCTCAAATCTGCAAATAATTCATGATTTCTAATTGCGTGCAGATCCCCTAAAATGGCCGTCAAACAATGAGAATGGAGAGAATGAGAATGCCTCGTACGTACGCCCTCATGAACACGATACTTTATTCACTAGTTGAATTACATTACAACAAACAAACCACCTTCAGATGAGACTGATCAATAGTATTAGCTAGCACACTGGTCTACACACGAGTACGAATTGTGCTCGTGACATCACACCAAAACTTTTACACTTGACACCAGGGCTCCTCCTTTGATGCCGGGCCGCACAGAGACAGATCAACCATCGGCGAATGGTTGCTAGTCCGCGAAAAGCATATCTCTGTCTAACCTCGTCCGTAGCCCAAAAAAAAAAAAAGGGACCTTCAAACTGTATGACACAATGGCACCTTGCTGTCTCGGTTTCATTTTCACGGTCATCTGAAGTCCTCCAGTGCGATATGCTGACACGTTTTGCAATGGCAACCTTTTTTTGGGGGAGTTCAAATGACAAATTGTATCAGCTTCCACCTACATTGTTTGGTCCGTTTTCCCCGTAGATCGCGGACGGCATGGCCTTCATCGAGCGGATGAACTACATCCACAGGGACCTGCGAGCTGCCAACATCCTGGTCGCTGACAACCTGGTGTGCAAGATCGCTGACTTCGGCCTGGCCCGCCTCATCGAGGACAACGAGTACACGGCCAGGCAAGGTGCGCTGTCCTGCCAACTAATCCTCGAGCTCCCCCCCCCAAAAAAAAAAGAGAAACCCTTTGAACCAGCATCTGGGTTTCTGTCTTCCTGCTCGTTCCAGGCGCTAAATTCCCCATCAAGTGGACGGCGCCGGAAGCGGCTCTCTACGGCCGCTTTACGATCAAGTCGGACGTGTGGTCGTTCGGTATACTACTGACTGAACTGGTCACCAAAGGCAGAGTGCCCTATCCAGGTGAGCCTTGACACACACACACACAATTGATCAAAATCTATATTTTGAAGAAATCTTTTGCATTTGAAATATCATTTTCTGCTTAAGTGGGATAAAAAAAAAAAATCATGCCAAAACAAGGTAAAAATAAAACATTTATTTCTTTCTAACTTGGTTACATTGATATTCGAAATTGCATCAAATTTCATCTAAATGTGTATGTTGAAAAAAGATAAACCTGTTTGAAAACATTTTTAATGATTTAAAAATCAATCCAAAATCATTTCTAATGATTTAATTCACTTGTTTTGTATCGATTTTTTTGTAGCTGTTGCAATCAGTATATTTTGTTATTATACTTTGTGTATTTTTCAACACGATGAAGCACGCTCATACTCTTAGGCGCTATTTCTCTGTTAAATGAGTTTGTGTGTCGTATTTGTCCTCCCATTCAGAGTAAGATGATATCTTCAAATCTTACACACGCTGAATTTCAACACTTGCCATGTGTTTCTCTGATCGCTGTAATGTTGAAAATGAGGACTGGACTCCAGCTTTGAATGATCACAGAGCCGCCATATGGCCGACCTGACCGCCGCCATCTGGCTCTCGTGGCCTTCCCGGATCCACGGCCAAAAACCCTTCATTGTAATTAATTCAACTACATCTGGAGGCTCTTCTTTTCCTTTCTTGAGTCCTGTTGACACAGCTGCGTGGAAACCTATGATTTTTTTGTCCTTTTTTGTATGTATATATATACACTGCGGTGTGAGAATATCAGAAAGCTGATGATTTGCATTTTGATGCCGCCGCCATTCTGTTGTCTCATTCCGGCTTCCCTGGTGTGTGAGATAAATGAAGACCCCCTTCCCCCCACGCCCTCCCACAGAGTCACGTGCTCTGGCTCCTAACCTCTCACTGAGTCTCCTCCTTACAAAGCATTCATGTCACATCGCGGGGTTTTCCTGTCTTTGGGAAGAAGTCTTTCTTCTTTTTTTTTGTTGTTAATATAGAACAGGAAGAGGACACATTGCATGCAGCAGATTATGAAGCAAAACCTAAATTGGAACGCTAAATATTGCTTCGCGCAATACGTCTGTTTTCCCTTAAAGTGGGCCAAGACTTTCTGACATCCCCTGAACCCCGTCGGCGTTGTGGTTTGCAGGGATGGTGAACCGCGAGGTGCTGGAGCAGGTGGAGCGCGGCTATCGCATGCCCTGTCCCCAGGGCTGCCCCGACTCGCTGCACGAAATGATGCGCCATTGCTGGAAGAAGGAGCCCGACGAGAGGCCCACCTTTGAGTACATCCAGTCCTTCCTGGAGGACTACTTCACGGCCACAGAGCCCCAATACCAGCCGGGGGACAACCTGTAGACTCGCAAGATCTCATCTCGGTACGAAACGGACTGGCCACGACAACTGTGATCAATACTAGAGGTGGAGTAGTTAGTCCTCATTTCACATTGATGTCAATCCTTGCAAGATGCAAGAAGGATTTTTTTTTTGTTTTGTTTTTAAACACAATGATTCTTTCACACAACTTTCCTCCCTTTTTAAAAATTTTATTTTTCAAAAATAATTCTTGGATATCGGGGAGTCACGATGTCTGTTAGATGTACAGTAGTTTGTTTGGAATGACTGTAGGCTGACACGCTGTTCTTCTTTGTTTAAATGTTATTGCGGATGATGCAGATGGGGCTTGATGCAAGTATGTACAGTATGTGCAGGGGAAAAAAACTATTTTAGCAAGTGTGAAAAGGTGGACGAATGACATTTTTTTTAAATTCTAGTGCTTCTTTGACACGCTTTCTCACAGGTATTTTAATCATGCCCAAGTGCAAAAAAATAAATCAGTCACCGATTTTTTTTTTCTGTCCTAGATTCAGCATTTCATTTTTTTGTCTTTAATTGAGATATACTGTAATGCCAGCACAAACATACTTTTCAAATGTTTATGATGGCAATTTTTCTCACCTTGAGGTTTATTTTCTGTTAAATACTCAATATTTCCTTTTTTTTTTTTGAACTTGACCAAATGCAAAAAAAAACGTTAATGGAATGTGAGGAATACGAAACAAATTGCTTTGTTTTAAATGTTCATGATGGACATATTCCATGACCAAGGATTTTATTTTTGTTTTATTCCTCTCACCGAATATTCCCATCATTGAGGCATCTGAAACATGCTGAAGACTTTCACATCTGTCAAACGATCACTGTTGCAGTCAATTTTTTGACTGCCTTTCACATTAGTTATTTTAATCATGTCCCAGTGAAAAATGAATGTCGAACGTGTTTTTTTTTTTTCTTTTTCTTCATATGAGATGGGCATTGTCTGTGACCATGGAGTTGATTTTTTTCAAAATCTCCGCATAACAGTGACAGTTTTGCAATGGAAGAGTTGCACAATACCATATAAGGTGTGATATGGTACGAATGTCATCACTTGTATGTCTAAGCTTAAAAAAAACAATGTAAGTGAATCAGTGACAGTATATTTGACAGCCATTTACACACCAGACTTTCTCAAATTTCACTGCTCTGCTTAGTACGGTTTTGTTCATCTTCATGCCACCAAATAACGGCGTTAACAATGTCGAGTTTGTGTTTTTCTTCCCTAAACCTTTTATTTTCCTGTTGCTGTCCTCCCAAGTGTCGGTCCAGAGGCGCACGGTGACAAAGTTGCGTACGGAAGCCAGCGGTTCGGACGAAGATGTGAACTTTTTCCTTGTTTTGAATTCAATTTGTTTGTATGTTTGGCTGCGGAGAACCTAATACAGTATGTGATGGTTCCAAAAGGTAGGACTTGAACTAGAGATGGAGAAAAATAATGGGAACTAATAGAATTTTTGTACAGATCAAAAATAAATAAAAGTTTGACTTGAAAAGTTGAATTCGAGTTTGCTCTACTGCCGTTTCTACTTGTAAACCTCAAAATGTAACATCTGGAGGTCATGGAAATGGAATCTTGTGTTTTTTCCTCTATCAGGCAACAGCTAAGCTGTTGAAATTCTGCATCTCTATGGATCTCTGTGATTGGTTGTTTACTCGTCCTCCTGGTACCTGTGAAGCGAACAACAACACAAACGTAAATCAGTACGACTTGATCAAGTGTCACTAAATATTCCAATGTGTCACACCCATTACCTGATCATCTCCTTGTACCTTTCCAGAGCCTCCTGGACCACGTACTGGATGAAGGCCGGGTCGTGCAGGTTCAGCTCCCCCGGCACGGAGAAGACCAACGAAGGAGAGTTGAGGATGTTCACCTCCACGTGGGTCTCCCCCGCTGACATGTTCTTGTCTTGGCCCTTTGGCACCACCTGCTGGGCAGAAAGGAACACTCGAGGTGCTGTACACACTGGTCATGATTAGGAATACCAATGACGCGCTATCCGGTTGAACCATTTTTTTATTTTTTGGTGTGGTCTGGCGTTTGATCTGAATACTAGTAACGAGGTCAAGCGAGACCTGAGTTTCCTTAAGGAGTAACAGAGTATGTGTGAGACACCTCAATGGGCACCTCTGCTGCTTCTACCCTTCATTGATGCATTTCTTTCCCTGTAGAAATGAATCGTCAAGGGAGGTGCTGTTCAACGGCAACATATTTGCATTTCCTCATCTCACCCCGGTGATGCGGAAGATGTTTTGAGTGTCCGCCCGCGCCACCCAGCCGAACTCCGCAGCCATGTTGCTCAGCCAGCCCAGCGTCTCGTCGGCGTGGAGCCGCACGATGGACAGGACCTCGTCGTACTGCTCCCCGGACACGCCCAGCAGCTGCGAGACCCGCCGGAGTTCCACGTGCAGCTCCCTCACGCTGGGACATTCTGCCGAGAGCGGACATCGGGCGGCACCGTGAGGATGTCGGCCAATGGATGTGGAGGTGGGCGGTGGCGTTGGCGCTTTACCTGTTAGCAGTGCCCCTTGGCAAGCTTCGCACTGGTTCTGCAGCTGCCAACACTCGGACGACTGTTTGCGCAGGTCTCGGCACAACTTCCTGGTCCGCAGGGGGGACCGTGGGAGGGTTTTCTCTGCAGTCCAACACAAGAATGGACGTCAACCGTGGACCTTACAACTGTTACTCCATAACTGAAACAAGTACAAGCGAATCAAAAGTGTTTAACACTCACCTCTCTCTTTGGCCTCCTGCTGCGGTGTGTGGAGGCCATCAAACGCCTGCGTCACCACCGCCCCGAACTCCTCCACCACGCTGCGGCCAAAGTCGAAGAAAGAGTCCAGCACCTCCTCGAGGCCCACGCCCTGCAGGAAGCCCGAGTCACGGGCCGGGTCGTCAGGGGCCACCGTGGCGCTCGGCGCTAGGGGCGCGCCAAGGAGAGCCCCGCGCACCGCCCGGTCCAGTCCGTCGCTCATCCTGGAGGCCAGGGCGGCGCTGCCGTTCACCAGCAACCCGACCTTGCGTCTCAGGCGGGCGAAGGCGTCCTGGATGCGGACCACTTCGGCATCGGGGCTGTCTGGGTCCTGGTTCACCAGGATGTCGTCCGCTTCCGCGGCCGGTTCGCTGAAGCCGAAGCGTCTCGACACGCGGCGGAAGAAGTTCTCAACCTGGTATGGGAGAAGAAGACCAAAAATTGTGGACATTTTTGCAATTTCAAAGTATTTTGAAAAGCACCCCCTAGTCACTATTTAGTGATTCGAAATGTTATTTATACTGCTTGTCTTGAACCGATTAATGGCATTTTGTTTCATTTCAATGGAAAAGGATGATTTGGGCTACAAATTATACTGAGTAGGGAGTAGGCACTAATTCTTCACTCCTTTTTTTTTTTTAATAGGGAATTACATAGATCACCACGTAACTTCTTTAGTCGGGTATATAAAAATCCCGACAGAGTGAGTAAGGAATGAATGAACGATTGTGAACACAACACGAGGCTTGTCCTACTTTGGTCTGGAACGTCGCAAAGCCCCTGCGGCAGGTGTTGGTGAAAAATGTTTTACAGGCGTCCTCCAAACATGGTCTGCACTCGTCCCACTCTGACTGTAAAGAGGCCCTGCACTGCTCCTCGGCCTCCCGCAGCTTTTCCGTCACGTCCTGGGCCAGTTGCGCCGCTCCCTGGTGGAACAGAGGAACAACAACATTGCTTGTTTGTCAAGAATACAGTCCAGCTTTCATTTTAGAAACCCCTGCAAAGGCAGGCAAGGCATATCTTTGTTTATTGATCTTTGCCAGCGAGGTGTTGAGACAGCCAAAGAGAGTAACGCAAGGACAATGAAAGTGAGTGTCCACCTTTTTCTTGTCACCACTGTGGTGCAGAGACTTCATGAGGCGCTCGTGCTTGCGCTGGTTTCTCCACATCACCTCCCTCATCTGGCCCACGCCGTACAAGGCGCGCTTCACCTCCTCGCCCACCACCACCTCTCCGGCCTTGGACAACTCTGACAAGACACCACGGAAAAGTCTGCTTTGGATGGGTAAGTGGGGCGGGCAGCGTCCCCTTGATCCGGCGATGCTCTTCTTCCCCTTTTCCGTCCAGTAATTGACTTTTGACTAGCTCGTAACTTTTGATTGCCTGTCCACCTGTTCTATGTGAAATTAAACAACCGACTACAGTGGTGACTTAACGTAGGAGTGACTTTTTTTCGGTTTGACCGATTTCATGCTTTGGCTCGCGAGTGCGGAATGGAGATGTGGCCGCTGCGCAGTGGCAATGAACTCAACAGGCGTCAGCAGTTGAGAAAATGGCAAACAAGTCTTCAAAAAAGTCTGCTAGCTCACTGCTAATGCTAAATGTAATCTACGTTGCAGTGCTATCATAAATCTTTTAAGGAACAGGCTGAGTGCAAACAGTGCAGCAACACATGTAGACGGACAATGGAACAGTACTTGGTCTTCTTTGTGCTCTGTATAGAACCACTAACAGGGCCGTACTGATGAACTAAGAGGAGCTTACGCCAAAACCTTCCCGGACTGGGGTTGACGTTCCCTGCTGTCATGTCAAAGCCAAAAGGTAAGCAGAGCTGCATCAAGTTTTTGTCGGATGCTCAATTTTACATTCGCTCGCGGCTTTAGTTTCTGAAAAGCGGCACATTCTTGAGTGGGTGTAAAACGTCACCTTTTAAAGCGTCCTCTGTGGCGTTTCCGTCCTCCGAGGCACCGCTGACAAGCAGGCCCAAGGACGCCAGCGCAACCACACTGAGCGCAACCTGCATTTTGCTGCTTTTATGCTCCCCTAAGGAAGGAGCAAAAAGTCTGAAAAGGATATACACACACACACACACACACACACACACACACACACACACACACACACACATCAGCATCGTCCGGCTATTTTGATACAGAGAGCTAATAGGATTTGATTTTGTGGACAAATTCCAACACTTGAGGGCGCTCAAGTGTGGGGATTAAAAAAAAGAAACAAAATAAGCATCAACAGATCACTAAAACATTTACAGCATTTATGATGTTTAATGAATTAGATTTCATTGCATTTATTAGTTATGAATTCATGTAGACCCATCAGTGTAGTTCATGATTCATAATTTTATAGCATGATTATTAGCAGGACAGTCTTGAAATACAGAATCAAATACAGTTAGTCCAAATGGTTGTCATTTGAACTCTTTAGATCTTATTACAGTTGAAATAATGCAATATTTCATTTACTTCATGACAACATTTTAATGATTTCTATTGTATTATACTTACATTCATGATATAGATTTAAACTTATGAGTGATCATTTTCTTCTTAGCAGGTCAAAGCATTACAGTGAATACAGTTGTTCATGATTTGTATTTTTAATAAAAATAATCACGCGCAGGAATCATTCTTATGCTTTGATATGATTGTATTTCTTCTCAATCAAATGTTCATTGCGTGTTCCACAAGAATTGCTCTGCAGAAATCAAATGCATCACCTCAACTTCATATAGAAGCATTTACAGCACAAGTATTACTGAACATTTTTTCTTCTTCTTTTTCCCTTTTTATACGATCAGTTGAACGTACCAAATGACTAAATTAATATGCCACATGCAGTCAATTTTGTCGACACGATAATGCCTTTTTTTTGTTGTTTTTGATCCGCCCCAGCGGCCTCATTGAAAGCAATGGCAACACACAGGTTGGAGGAAAAGATGCCTTACCGCCCTGAAGATCCGCTGACAGCGGAACGAAGAAAACACTTTGTGTGGCTGCTTTGGTTGTGGTGCCAGGTTTGTTTGTTCTCTTTCCACTCGGAGCGTGATTCGTGATCCTATTAGCGACTTTGCGTGCGATAATCCCGCATTCAACATGTTGCCGGCCGCCACCAGGCGCCTCTTTGTTTTCGACACTTGTACACACCGGGACGAGAGCGTGTTGGAGTGAGTTCTTCCACGCACAAAACTCAGCCCAGTACTGTATCACGGCGGGCCTTCCTCTAACCCGTTCACAGAAAGTTGAAAGCGCACAACTGTGATCTTGTGCTTCTGTGTTTCTTCAATTGTGGCTCATGGAAGCAATGCAGGTCAAAAAGGGCCTTTCAAGTTCTTTGTGCTGCCCCTTTTGGTGTGACAGACAGATGGCTACACTATTCATTGAGACGTCTCAACTCCTCTCAGCTCATCGGTACGCCGCTAACATGAGTTGTTCTTCGCAGAGCATAAAGAATACGTGACTGTGAGTATTGTTCCAGTATAGGCGTGGTTTGTTTTCACGACGGAATCAAGATGGATGTTAATTTGCATTCGCATTAAGATTATGATGTGTGGTTTTAAATGCACAGTTTAATGGTCAGCATTTATGGAATTCTTGTTTGTTATTGTATTTTGTATCTATTTTTTATGCTGATTTGATTTTGTATTAGTCGTGTGTCGTTATTTTGATTTTATAATTGATCTTTGCTTGTAACGCACATCACTCGCTAGCTATCTTTGCGTTGTATTAATTTACTATTTTGTATGGGGTTTTTTTATATAAATGTTCATATTGTCAGATTTTAATTTTGCATCGCCAAACCACTATGTAAAAGTGTCATGCAACATTCATCATTCATTTTACTTGAATTAATTTCACTGTCAGTATTCATCATAAACGAAAGAAATGTTTCTCGACACACACGTCTCACACCCACACAAACCAGGGGGCTGGGTGCTCATGCAAAACGGTGCGGCCAGATGTGGGAACACGTGGTTTCTTTCTCCAAACAGCCTCGCAGGCTTTTCCAGCACTTCCTCTCTTGCCGCAGCGCTCTCACTCCCCTTTTTTCTTTCTTCCCACACACACCTTGACTAAAACAACTTTTGAACTCCTTTTTCTTGTGTTTGGGGAAAAAAAGCAGCCTTTTCCTTGCACTCATCCTGCAATTTTGCAGCATCAAGTTGATCGTGACGAATGGAACCGCGCATGTGATGGAGTAACTCCTGTGCAAAAAAGAACAAAAATCAAAAAAGTGAATTTTCGGGGAACCAGAGCAATGCATTGAGTGGATGGGAGATACGACAAAGAAGTACAATGAAAGGTAATATGATCCAGGATATCGGATGTACATATTGTAAATCGTGCTTGTGCATGTGTGTGTGTGAGGTGCATTGGAGCTGCCGCTTTTGTTTGGCCACACTGTGCGACCTGTGGAATGTGTGGGCAACAACTCGTGTCCCCCATCTGCTTTCACTTAACGGACTGCGTACGTGCGCGCGTAAATATGTGTGTGTGTGTAAAACACAAAGACAAAGTGAGACGTACGTGGTGTCATGCAATTCTACCGTCCATTATAGAATACCATGAAGCCTCACTAGATATCATTATAATTGGATTAATTAGTGCAATTTAACTCTCTTGGTAGAAAATTGGGTTATTGCCATATTTATGTCGGCCGTGGCAGCTGATTGATGATCTGTTTGATCATTTTTCTATGGTTAAATAATGATTGAGCACAAGCATACTTCTTTTTTTTTTCTCTTGATTATTCACACGAAACGTCTTGCTAATGGCTAAAGTAGCATCGCGTTGTCAGTTCTCCTTAAGTCGCACGCCCCCTCATGGCCTGTCTGAGAATACAAAAACATTTCCGTAAGCCACTTTTCTGCAAAGGTTTAAATATAATGAGGCAACTATGCTAGCATGCTAACCATTGCTGTTATTTACAACCCCCATTAAAAACAATGCAACTGACTTGACCGATGCCTTCACTGTTCCACTCTCTCCTTTGACCAAAATCCAAACGCTTGGCACTCAGCTTTGACGTGCAATGCTACCCGAGTCAAAGTTGTGAAATAATGTTGGGCTAATATCGAAAATGACGACTCGGAGGATCTCTTCGGCACGGCCGAGCATTTATTGTTCAAATGCTTGCCCTCAGGGCCTGAAAAACAGAAACTAAGACTGAGTGCCAGAAAAGCATCTCAGAGAAGTTACTGAATGAATACAACACACCGGCGGAACCGTGGACTTTTCTCTCAAGGTCACATTTATTTCTTGTGTTTTTCCGTTTTCAGACGACTTTGGGGAAGAGGAGGAGGTGCAGTCGTTTGGCTACAAGAGGTTCGGTGAGTACTGCGCGACGTGTTGTCCCCTCAATTGGCCACGCTTCAGACAACGTTTCACTTGACTCGACAGAGATTTGATTTTTGGCAGCGACTATTGTATTTTGGGGGGTGATATTTCCCTATTTTTATAACAACACAAAGCATCTTGTGTGCTCGTGACACTGCGCCTTGGTCTGCGCACAAGAGCACGTTAGGGGGAAAAAAAAAACATTCGAAGCCAAAAACAACCTATTTAAGTTTAAATCTGTGGTACGTAAGGCAGGCAAGCTAATGGTCCCAGAATGCGATGCTAACAGGTGGCCGCCGATGCTAGCTCTGCCCCTCGAATGGCTTCTTCGCATCCAAATAGGAGTGAATTATGAAGGAGTTTCAATGGAGGCTTTTGGTTGTATTTTATGAGGAAAAATAACACTTTCTACTATTGTACTTTATTCAAGAAAAAATACAGTCATGGCATAATTAAACATGAATAAAACGTTTTGATCACACTGTATGAATGAATAGCCATTGCGCCGTCCTTTCTGGTGCGCCTGGCCTGGCCGCCAGGGGGCAGTCTAAGACAGACGGGGGTACTGTTCATTGAGATGGCGCAACTCCTCTCAGCTCATCAGTATGGCACTAATATCGGCCGTTCTTCTCAGAGGATAAACTATCTATGATTGTGAGTACTGTACATGTTTCTCTTTTTCTTCAAACTAATACAGAAGGTATTTAAATATGAAAGCATTGTTTGTAAGTACAGTACTTTGTATATGGCAAAGAAAACTTTTCACGGTTCATCACATCAAAGTTTTATAGTCCTGTGATAGCCCCAACACACGCAGGTGCAACACCAGCAGCTTTTCCTTTTGCACCATTCTACTTTTCAATGGTTTGGAAAACCCGAGCATAACAAAATGCATGAGTACAAAACCACACTGAGCACTGCTGCCATTTGGATGGACTCGCTTCCAAACCACCACGACCAAGAATTACACACAAGTCGTTCCGTTTTTTTTTTCTTTCTTTTCGACTCAAAGGGTGACATATCATGGGCAAATTACGTTTTAGTTCTTTCTTCTGTGGTGCATTGAGATGCGCGTGACTCGACTCACACGTTTTTCAAGATACGAGCTGTCGTTCGCTCATTTTCTTGTTTGTTTGTTTGTTTGTTTTTATCTGCTTCTGACAAGCGGCAAGTAAAAGTAGGTTGTAATTCTGGATCTTTGGGATTTTTGTTTTGATCAAAGTGTTTCATTGACATTTAGATGTCACTTATCATGTTTTCCTGGTTTTATTTTGAAAGTGTACAGTTGCTGCCTTGTGCCTCACGTCACCTGCATCTCGTTGAGTTATAATCCACCCGTCTATTTTTAGCTACGTCTGCTCCCCGTTTAGTCCGCTGGATTATTAGAAGTCTTGTTGTCTAGCGGCACGCCTGCGTAGATTCTTCGCAGATTTTCTGGAATTTGCCATTTCTGCCTCGGTGGGTTCCATATCTGGTCTCACTGGACCGTAACTTGAGCTATGTAACCTGTCATGCTTCACTTGTCATGCCATCCGGTTAGAAATGAGTAGGATGTAGGGCAAAAATTCAAGTACCGGAACCCCAAGTACGACTTTATTTGTCCATCCTTTCAACACCTTTAAGGTTTTGTACTGAGATGTATTCATATCGGTTTTATGTTCGAGTAGCATGTTTTTAGTCGTAGGAAAAAAATAGCTTGCCCCCCCCCGCCCCCTCCTTTTTTAAGGTTAAAAGAGAAAGATGAATTCCATCTGATACAAGTCTTTTGTTCTTCACTTTGAATATTCCCACCCATGTTTTCCATGTGTGCAGAATGTTTCTTTTCTTTGCTGTGCGTGAGAGAGAACATTGGGAGTTTTCACGAGAGGTTCGTTATTGCTGCGAAACCATGTCCAGAACCTGAGAACTTGCTGAGCCACTTCCTGCATTAAAAGTTGATTCGGTGCAAACCTATACACGCTGAGGGTGGTGTGCGAGTGGGTGTTGCGGGTTCTTGAGGGTCCGTGTCTGCACGGGCTTTGCTGTGTCAGCGATGTGCCTCAAGATTGGAAAAATGGAACTCAACCTGCAGTCGGGGCTTGTTTATATTCCTTTCAAGTGATTTATTTCCGCATGCGCACGAGGTGGGCTGAGGTTGGGTGTGTCAAGGGACATGTTGTTGTTGTGGGGGAGTCCGCTTTTGTCAGCTTTCCAGCTGAAGAGTCGCATTCCTTCCCAGACTTATTTTTGGGAGCACCGCACTGAGTGGTTCTAATTTACGGTGACTTTATTAGCGGAAAAGAATGCTTTCAGCCCGTTCCTGACGACCCCCATCTTTCGTCGCTCCTCCGACGCGCACATGTTGAGTTCATACGGCGGTATTTCATTTATACCATGGCGTGTCTCTCAAATGAGCTTTTCCTTTTGAAATGGACGGAAAAGCCATTAATCCGTTCCAGCCTCCAAGAAACAAAACAAGCAAAAAATGTGTTTCTTTCATGAGAAAAATAGCACTCCATAATATCACGATTTATCAACAACCAAACGTACTGTCATTATATCCTTCAATTGATTTATTTATTTTCTGGGTTCCACTTTGCATCCTTGAACGGCGCGTTTCCCCTCGATTTCAGCCAGACTTGTCAGGGCGACTGACCGCACCGCGTGCTTTATACCGCTTGTGTTTATATGCTCGTAACAGGAGCGCGCTGACGTGAGCGTGACCGCGCAAAGCCGCTGCTGATTTAGCATCCTGACACGGTGGCCCACCCGGAACGTGCGACCGCATGAAAACCAAAGTGCACGCCGCAGTTTGGAGGGCCAACTCCGGGGTCGGTTGTGATGAAATATTTCAAACCAAACACGACTGCCTTTAGAATGGCCCGCTAGCGTCATGCTAACATACGATAGAAAACGCTTTTGACATGCTATAAGTTAGCTTAGCTAGTCACAGTTTTCAAACTTTTTAAGCAATGGATATAAGTGAACGCAACCAACGGAGAAACACACATCATATATCAATCCTCACGGGCGGGCATATCTTCTTTATCCTCTTTGAAACACGGCTAATATGACGGCATCTCGTCGAGTCACTTGAGAGTAGTCGACGAGGAAGAAGCGGGCTTCTTCTTCACTTGTATCTGCTTGACTGGATCATACTGCCCGGCGGTGGCCAAGAGCACACCAGAAAGAGCAGCACAATTCATTGAATGGCAGCATTCACTCGTGAGTGTTTCGTTCTTCACATTTTATGTCATGATGTGATCAATCGCTTGCTGGAATGGATGAATGGCATTCCCCTTCATCTCAAAGGGGAAAGATGATTGGCGATATCGGTGGTTTCTGAATGTGGGCAAGGAACAGGTTAAACTCGTACTTTTAGGGACACGTCCGTCAAGTCATCCGGGATGGAAATTTGCTGTTGACCGCTGTTAATAGAGCTACGGTGTTTATTACAGAACTCGGTAGCTGATACCATTTATTTGCAAGACTGTTTTTGTGAGTCGGTCGGTGCGCCGTTTTTCTTTGCAATGGATAACTGGAACTCATAAGCAGGGCGGCCAGTATTTGTTCTTTTTCTTCTCCTCCATGTTTACTCCATTTAAAATAATCAGTCCGCTTTCACACCGACGCAACGGTCGAATCTGTTTTTCAAAAAGCACTTGAGAATTAGCGCCTGCCGCTTGTCCAAACATAAACTTGAACTTGGGTGTCCTCCAGCTATCGTTTCGTTTCCCGTTAACTCGTCATCTGACATCGTGGAAAACAACAATAAGGTTGCACAATCCGCAGACTCCTTTGGAAACTTGCGCGACATCTTTTTGGATGAGGCGGAAAGATAATTGCATCCATCCGCGGAGCTTTTGCACTTGTTCGCCACGCAGACGCCTGACGCTCGTGTGCTTTTGAAAAAGCCGCAAACGAAGCAAAGTGGCTGCCGAAGACCATTGATTGACGTTGCCCGCCGTGTGAAAACAAACGCCTCCCTCAAAGGGTTAAAGAAAGGTAATAGTCTCGATCGCAGACGTCTGCGCGCGGACATGAAAAAGTTCGCCCTTTTGAATGTTGTTGCTCACCAAAACGGCATCATGAAGACACATAAACACACTCAGAGGAAGTGAAATCTGGAGTCCTACCACAGGTTTTGAACAAGTTCAACACGATCTCACGTTAACGACGATTAGCATTCTAGTAAACTCGGCATGTAATCACTCCGCACTGGTTTTTTTGTTGTTGTTGTTTTTGGCGGTGGAAAATGGGGTGTCTATTTGAGGAAGACGTTGATTTGTCACGACAAGAATGGCTACTTGCCAAAGAAGCGTGGTGTTTAGAAATGCTAATTGGTACAAAGCCTCTATCGACGTAAATCCAGTAGTCTGTTCCCTCGCTGAACCGTGTGTGCATGTATTGAATGTGGAGTTGGCTGCCGTGTCAACAAGCTCCAGATGTGCAAGACGACCAATGTGATTTTTCTTTTTCCTTCTTGAGCGCAGGAATGCTAAGCTAGCTCTGCGATTCCAGCACGGCAACGTCGCGCTAATTTGTCCCAGCGTTCCAATGTTTACACGTTAGCATTCCCCGCAGCTGCAGCTAATGCAAAGTGACTCTTTGCTTTGCTTTATCATATGAGCCCGCGCTATCATCAACTAGAAATAGTGTCTTAAGATATGATTTTTTTTTTTTTCTTCATTCCTTGGCTATGCTCATAACCCAAAGCGCTCATATCTCTAATCATGTTTACCCCTTTGAAATAAATGGAAATGGCATTTATCTATTCCGGCCTCCTAAAAAAAAAAAAAAAAAAATTTAGCAACATGTTTTTACTTTGGCAAAATACCACGCGATAATACTACACTTCTGTCACACCGACTTTTCCCTCCCTGGATACAGCAACCTTGTTGCAGCAGGGCGTGTCCAGCCCGGAACTAGTGGGTTTAAAGAATACAATTTGATTGTGAATGCTCTTTTATTGTCTGTCTATACGTGTTGCTGCCCCACTTGTGGTCAGATATCCAGTTTTTAAAAGGTTGTTATATAATCACATTGATGCTAATCGTTGCCTCGGCCAGCATTAGCCTTAAGCAAGCCAACTAAAGGCTAAGATATGTGGTTGTTTTAAATGCACGTGTGTTTCTCTTTGTTTTATGTTTAGTGTGGCAGTAAACCTGAGACGGCTTGAAGCTTTTGACTTTTCAGCATATTTTCTGATTCTACCTCCTCTCGTCACCACACGGCGCCGCTTGACGATCAAGATTTCACTCGCAAGTCAAAGCGGGCAAACGATCCGGATAACGGTTCACATGTAAAAAAAAAAAAAAGCAAATTGCGGCCCTTGCATCTCAAGGCACTACTGTACATTAATAAGTAGAATGTAACGTTTGCCAAGTGTGGGTGGGCCTCTACTACAAACAGAAGTCTGTATTATGCGCTTCCTTGTTCCTGAGTAGACTCGTAATATAACCACTAAAGTCAACTCAAAACGGCGCGGCTGGAGGAATGGCCGTGCTCTGGCACTCGACGTCACATGGAATTGGAACACAAAGAGGCTTCACACAAAATCACTCCACTGCTCTGTACAAGTTTTCTTTATGTTGTCATGGAAATTTCCACACAGCAACTGCGGAGTGTTCAGCAATGGCAAGGTTCTCGACATGGATTTTTTTCTTTTTTGGAGGGGGGGTTGGGGGTGGAGGGCTAGCTGTGGAACACTTTCAGTTTTTGTTAAGCTGTTCTTACTACAGTTAGGAGCAGATGTCACGCATCCGAGCCTAGTGTATATCTCTGTTCTGTACTTATTCGTAGTCCAGTCTCAGTTGGGTTCGCCGGCAATCTCTCATGAGTGCAGCAACAGAAGTCTCATGAATCCATCGCTGCAACAAAACAGGAATTCTTTCAGTCTTATCATCATTCTGGTGAAAAAAAATGTACAGCTGTTTGCAGCCACTGGATTTTTTTTTTTGGGGGGGGGGGGGTGTTGAATTCAGTCTCCGATGCCAGTTTCACTTGGTGACAAGAAATTTGGTCTGTCATGAGTCGGCCCACAAAAATGTCAAAAGAACCCATGACCAAAAACAAACATAGTCTTCCCATTTGGTGTGAAGTGACATTTTTACAGTCATTTGCTAGTTTTCTTTTTTTTTTTTTTCAGAGTGAGCATTGTGGCGAAGTTTGATAACTCACTAGAACCAGTTTCCTCAGCATCATAAAATTTGCTAGGCATGAGTTGAGGCAGCAAAGTCTCTTGAGAACGAACCCATGCCTTAAAAACGACACAGGAAATCGACCTTTTTATTTTTTTCTGTAAAATTTACTGTCGATAGAATTTTGGGGGAAAATTTGACCCCTGAGGCAATTATCAATCGACTGCAAACCAAAGTCTTGACCAAACGTCTTGTATGCGATTCGTAGACGGCTGCGGCTTTTAAGTGATGTTCCCCTATTTTCCTGTTTTTGTTTTTGTACAAAGGGTACAGTCTTGTCCAAACAGACAGTCCCCCTCCGAGACCGCAGGCGCTCATCTTGTTTACGTGGCGTGTTGATGCTGCGCTTGAGTGAAGACAACAAACCGCTTGGGGGGGCTCCGATATAGCGCCCCCTCAAGGAGTCTCTGTGTAAACAGGATGACCGAGCGAGCAACTGCCCGGCGTGAGCGCGTCCGCAGCTGGACCCCTTAAATGTAATGTTTGGACAGATGTAAGAGGCCAGAATGCTTGCGCCCTCCCGCCAACCTGGTGGTCCAAGGATGGAATGTCAGTTTCCAAATGGCCGATGACATTCTTGGACAAAAGTATTGAGACGCATGCTCTTAATACCAAAGGTGGACTTGTTCTTCCACGGCAAACTCATCCAAACACGACGTTTGGTAGCCACGGGTAGACCCACAAAAATGTCGGCGAATTTGGCCACGTACTCGACGGATGGTCGCAACGCAGTGGTGAAGTTTGACGAGTCGTCAGAAAGCACGTTGGGTTAGCAAAGCCGGTTTCATGTATCACCGTGAAATCGGTAGGTTGGTCCGTCATGATGAGACCATACCCAAAAGCACTCAGGGAGTCGGCCATTTTGGTTTGAAGTGGCCATTATAGGGTGGTCGTCCTGGCCGTTGACGCGCAGTCTCCAACCATTCCGTCAACCACCTGTGCAGTGATTCACTTCTAGCCTCGAGATGTTGTCTTTGGTCTGGAAATATGTTGTCAATCATGTTTTGTGTGTGGGTAGGTGCGGGGGGCGGGGGGTAGACTGCATCTGGTGTTGGTCATATTCCAGAGTACGGTCCTCACGTCACGTCACTTTCACAGTGTTTCACTTCTTCCAAGTGCTGTTCATTTTGTTTTGTTTTTTGGGGTGGGGGGGGGGGGGGAATGTTCTCCAGCAGCCACAGGCTTCTCCATCAATTTGAGCGAAGCCACTGGACACGTGCTTCATTGTTTATATTGCATGTTTCTTGGCTTGGACGGAGGAAGGAGACCTGTCCGCATCTTCATCAGCATCGAAGATCTTAGGGAGGCATGACAAAACAGTGACAATGAGCTTGGATTCGCTTCCATATGGCAAACACGTGCGCTGAGCTTTAAGCCTTTCATTGTAAATAGCGATTTCATTTTTTTTTTTTTCTCCATAATAGTTGGCCCGATAAGAGGCAGAGTACGTTCTACTTCAAACACAGGCTGCTATACTTAAAGAAAATGTCAACATGACTTCATTTTGTAATCAGTTTTTCCCCCTCAACTCTCCTTTTCTTGCAGGAATCCAGGAAGGCTCCGAATGCACCAAGTGTAAAAATGACTGGGCTGTGCGCGCCGCCATCGCCTTGCTCTACGTGCTCTGCGCCCTGCTCACCATTGCCGTGGCCGTCCTCGGTTACAAAGGTCAGTGACGGGGTCTGTCGTCGCGGTCACGTCATTTTAAAAATCAGACCTTGACAAGAGAATGACACGTATCGTACTCTAACCCCCCACATCAGTGTGTTACTTCCAGTTACTTCAGTGCCAATGAAACTAATCAGTTTTTCCCCCTCAACTCTCCTTTTCTTGCAGGAATCCAGGAAGGCTCCGAATGCACCAAGTGTAAAAATGACTGGGCTGTGCGCGCCGCCATCGCCTTGCTCTACGTGCTCTGCGCCCTGCTCACCATTGCCGTGGCCGTCCTCGGTTACAAAGGTCAGTGACGGAGACTTATTGTCTGTAGTCGCCGTCACGTGATTTTAAAATCAGACCTTGGCAAGAGAATGACACGTATCGTACTCTAACCCTCCACATCAGTGTGTTACTTCCAGTTACTTCAGTGCCAATGAAACACTTTTTCATCATTGCCAAAAACACTTAGCAAAGGTGTAATGTCGACCAGATGAGCCTGCAGGAGTGCCAATGAAACACTTTTTCATCATTGCCAAAAATACTTCACTTATCAAAGGTGCCATCCTCAAAATCAAAATTTTTCGAAAATCATTCAAAAAAATCCCAAATAATTCTTCCAAATGATTTGCGTGACCATTGCGTGCTCCGATGGCACGAGAATGCGTGCTCGGTTACCGCCGTACTTGATGGCTTTCTACTCGTCCTCATTGTGGAGCCGAACACATCTGACTTTGGTCAAGAGCACCCCGGACTGCCCGCTCGCCAATTGCAGCCGATGGTAGAGTGCCGCAATAAATCTTAAGGTGGAACGATACTGCGTAAGCGCCGTTGGCTGTCGGTTTGCCTGCAATGCTTGGACTGTGTAATGTCGACCAGATGAGCCTGCAGTGACTTGAATGGCTTAATGAGGCCTGACCAGAGTTGATGGCTGAGCGCTAATTTGTTGTCTCATGAACCACACTTTGACTCATGGGTGTCAGGAACGGTTTGCAAGAGCGTTTCATGGCTTCCGTGTTGTCTTATTGCTCATCCACGCACCCTAATTCTTCAAATAAACATAATTGCACTACTGGGGGGGGTTTACTGGTGTTGGGCAGACCAATTGTGTGAGAATGGCTCATTTCTTAAAGTGCCATGGCACTGCTTGAGAATGACATCAACGTACTGTGGTGCCCTCTAGTGTTAAATATGGTTGGGCAGACCAATTGTGTGAGAATGGCTCATTTCTTAAAGTGCCATGGCACTGCTTGAGAATGACATCAAGCGCACCGGGCGTACTGTGGTGCCCTCTAGTGTTAAATATGCCGCCCGTACAAGCAATTTTGGATTGGCATCCGCTAGTACACACACATGTGCACATGTGAAAGGAATTTGCACCGTAGCCTACTCTTGTTTTCTGTCAGTGGTCCAGAGAATGGACAGCGTCGCGGAGGGAATGCAGAATTACGGCGGGAAAATCAACGCCGTGGAGACAGACTTGAAGAAACTCGGTGAGTTCGGGCCACGACGCATTTGTTCGAATGAGATTCAGACGTCGACTCTGGTATCTGGCCAGAAGACCACCAAATTCGAGCGTCATGTTCCTGCAGCTTTGAAGAGGCCGCGTTTTATTTTCCCCATTTTCCGTTCCCCCCTCAGACTATCCGACGGGTGAGAAGACGGTCAACGCCACCGGTGACGTCAAGGCATTTAAATCGGATCTGGAGGCGCTGCAGAGCCGGCTGAACGACGTTGCCGTTCGCTCGAGCCGGAACAGGGACGCGCTGAGCGCGCTTGAGCTGACCGGCGACGACACGCAGGACGGCCACGTGTCCCTGCGGGCTTTACTGAAGGGCAACGCCGCCTCGCTGCGCGGCGTCAACCGGACATTGACGTCCTACGGCGGCATGATCGGCGACCTCCGGACGGACACGGCCAGACTCCAGTCCGAGATCCAAGGTCAGGTCGAGGAGCAGGGCCGGGCCCTGGTCGGCATCGGCGCGCTGAATATCACCCAAGCCCAGCAGCGCAACGCGCTGAGCGCGCTGCAGAAGACCATCGAGGACGCGGGGCAGGCGGTGCAAAAACTCAAGAATGACTATCAGACTCTCCAGCAGACCGCCAGACAAACCCGCGCCGACACGATTTGGCTCAAGGAGAAAGTGCAGAATCTTCAGATTTTGGCGGCCAACAACTCGGCATCGGCGCGCTCCAACGGCGACGCCTTGGACGATTTGGGGGCTCAGCTCAGCACGCTGGCGAGCCAGATCCAGAACACATCCGTCCTCGCCGAGGGACTCGATCGGAACCTGCGGGAACTCATGGACAACCAGAGGGACCACGACAACTCCACCTCGTCCACGTTCGACAAGGTGGAAACGCGCCTGGACGAGCACGAGAACGCCATTGACCGCGTGACGGGCAACGTCAGCTTCGCCACGCAGCTCCTCGGCTCCATCGGCTCGGACCTCAACGGCCTGAGGTCGTGCGCCGAGACCGTCATACGCCACTCCGACGCGCTTCTGGGCTTGAACAACAGCGTGGACGAGGCCAGGGCCGAGAGCAGGGACCTGCGCGCCCGCCAGGACGAATTGACGGCTCGCCTGGACAAAGAAGTCAACGGCCTGTCCGTGGTGATGGAGGAGATGAAATTGGTGGACAGCCAGCACTCGCAGCTCATCACCAACTTCACCGTCCTGCAGGGTAAACCGTTGAGCCTCTTTGGCTACGAACGCAACAATCGGGCATTTTTTTTTTTCCATCTCGCTTCAGCGGTAGCCATAGAACTGAACAGAGGCCCCCTAATTGCCTGTAATTGTCTTTCAGGTCCACCGGGTCCGAGGGGCCCCAAGGGAGACAAGGGGCCCCAGGGCCCCGGAGGCCAGCCGGGCCAGAAGGGCGATAAGGGAGACAAGGGGGGGCCGGGTATGGTCGGATCGAAAGGAGAGAAAGGTGCTCCCGGCCCGCAAGGCGGAACGGGTCCAAAGGGTACCCTTGGCTCCCGGGGCCTCCCCGGGACCAAAGGATCGAGAGGAACCCCCGGTCGGCCTGGAATCCCCGGAGACAAAGGAGACCCCGGGGCTCAAGGTCTTCCGGGCAGAGATGGCCTCCCGGGTGTGCAAGGCCCGCAAGGACCGCAGGGTCTGAGGGGAGCGGCGGGACCCGCCGGCTTAGAGGGGCCGCGCGGGCCCGTCGGACCCGTCGGTCCCGCCGGTCCTCCGGGATTGCCGGGGTTGCCCGCGCCGGCGCCTCCGCTCGTTTTGAAGCCGGCGAAGCCCACCGCGGCCCCCGAAGCGTCCGATGAGCTTCAGAGCGCGGCGACAAAGCGGGTTCAGATTCCGCAGCCTGCCTCCACTTTATCGCCAGGTTGGTGTTGACTTTGGCGTCATTCAACATACCCGGACGCGACACGAAGGCCCCTCGCTTTTTTGAATGAATTGCAAACGTGGCAAAAGAAGTACCCGTGCTGTTCACAAGGAAGAATCGATGTGATTGAACAATTTAGAAACGCGTGCGACTTGCGACCCCTCGCTGCATTCGAGAACAAAACACAGAAGCGGCGACGATAAAACAAAACTTGTCTTGGCACAAAAGAATTTGCTTGCACAATCTTATGTGAGGCATGTTGGCTAGCGTTGGCTGGACTCAAAAACGTGTTTCATAGCTTTGCTAGCGTTATGAAGATGAGTAGTCATTCATAATGGCTGGGGGGGCGGGGGGGATACTCCTAACTTGTACGTCATGTGTCTTTTGAAATTAACTCAACTGAACAAGATGAAGAATTGATTTGATCTTGTCGCCAACATGAAACAATTGTCTTCAATAAGAACACAGTTGGGTCTTGCTTCTCCAAATCTGTTGCATCATCAGCGTCACCACTGCCCGGTTCGTGTAACTTCCCCCCATGTTGTCATTGTCCCCGTTTTTCACCGTTCCAAGATCCAAAGACCTCAATGGATCAATCGCAATTGAATTGACCTCTCTGCATTGACATCGTTTTAATGCTGCGTTGCGTGGTCATCTTCGGACTTTTGAAATGCAATCCGCCGATTTTGACCAAGTAAGACGTAAAAGGCAGCTCCAAGTATCTGTCCGGATACCTGAAAAATTGGCTTCAGTCTCCGAACAAAAGTTATTTCCCCACAATGGCTTTGTGATCAAACAGCCGATTCACCGAAGGATTTCTTTTTAGGTTGCCCGGCGCAGTTTCGGCCGTTTGGCGACAGCTGCTATTACTTCTCTGCCGCCACTCAGAAAGTCAACTACGATGAGGCCGGCGCCTTTTGTTCCAACATGGCAGCTCATTTGATCATTATCAACAACAATGAGGAACAGGTGAATGGAAATACGCGCCAGTACTTTGGGGGAGGGAAGGAAAAAAGAAAACCGGTCAAATGATCAATCTCATCGGCGTGCTCGCTCTTCCTTAGGTGTTTGTGAAGAACGCGGTGACGGGCAAAGGCTTCTTCTGGCTGGGTCTGACAGACAAGGAAGAAGAAAACGTGTGGAAGTGGGTGGATGGAAGCGTACCGCTTTTCAAGTGAGTCTTCCTTCATCTTCGCCTCACTTTCGAATATCCAGAGTGTAAAACATGTTCGCCGTGCGCGCGGCGGCTCTCGAAGGCAATGGAATCCGGGCCAGCCTGATAACTGGACGCGGGGTCACCAACACGGCGAGGACTGCGCCGGTCTCATTCAAAACGGCAACTGGAACGATTTCTATTGCACCGAGCGCTTGGGCTTCATCTGCGAACGGACCTCCGGTGGTCAGTATCGCCATAAAAATCTAGTCCAATACAGTACATGCATATGTCTTGTGTCTTTTTTTTTTTCTCATCAGATCCGGTTTCGTAGCATCGTCGTGAAGTGCCTGAGGAACAGTCGAGCTTGCGTGATACGAGCTTCACTATCGTTGCGATAGCGAAGATGAAGAAGAGAGGACTTGATTTGCGAAAGCGCAGCACCGCTTGCAGAGACTGAAATGCACTTTGTGTGCTGCAAAATTATAACGTGCACACCTACACGGCCCACCTTAGGTTGCATTGATGATCGAAGGACGTGAAGATGTGGATCATCATTCGAATGCGTTCGTCGGTATTTGATCATCGTCTTTCGCCATGTCGTAAATCTTTCTTTCGTTCAAAGATATACAACAGACACAAGAACAGGAACCGACCATTTAAAGGGAATGCTCAGTGTGAGCTGTGCTGCTGTTTTCATGTACGTAAGTTGTTGGTGGGGGTTTTTCCCCCCCTCTTAAAGTGCCAATGTGAAATGAATGTGTCGGGCACAAATACACCATATGCAATGTCGTATATGTTTTTGTTTTTCCCACCAAATATAGCATGTCTCATAAGCTGGGCGCTTCTTGAATACATAATCACTTTTTATATCAAACTGATATTTGCCAATGTCTGTATTATTCAGGGAATACTTTTTTTCATCAGCGCCCTTTAAAATAACAATTTACAACATTCATTCCAATAAACTGTTTTTAGAACGGCGTCAGTCTTGGTCTTCCATAACAAATTCACAAAATGATGACAAATAATGGTAAAACATTTCAGCACAATGCCATGATATTATCAGCCAGACATTAAAAAATGGTAGATCCGCATTCTTTTTTTTTGTTGTTGTTGTTCACCATACAGGATATTATTTCTATTGCATTACCTATTGCAATTGCTTCCTTATTTCAAAGACAGAAGCTTCACTCAGTCAGGCGCAGTTGCGCGCCGGGCTGCGCGTTTGAGGCCAAAAAAAAAAATGTGCTCCTTCGCCCATTTTGCAACGGTCGCCTTAAGTGAACCTTCAGACAGCGAGTCGACATCAAGCTTCATCACACGAAGGTGCAGCGCAAGTTGACACAAGTAAAACGCAATTATGCAATGAGGGGCGTGATAAAAAGGGTGTGATGTTTAACACATATACAGTATATGGATATATGTGTAAACAAATATACAGGAATTCCTGTATATTAAATATTAATTATAAATCAGCATTCTTTCGGCTGTTAAGCAATTGACATTTTAAACTTATTTCAGGGTGTTATTCACATTTCATTGAGATTTATTTCAAAAACAAGTCGAATTTTCTCGCATGATCTTGCCCGGCGGGAGGACGTCACGTGATTGCCATCGTCACGTGACAAAGACCTCTTTTTTTTTTTATGACAAGGACCGGGCACAAGCTATATGGTGACGTCATTTCACGCTGATTTCTACTCTCAAACCATTAGACCAATGAGTCCCGTGTTGTTGAAGGAGTGATTATATCAATCGTTGTTCTTATGATCGTCCCTCAGCGTGGACTTTGACTCGCTTTCCCAGCATGCCTTGCGTGTTGCTGTCCAGCGAGAAGGAGTGACTGTGTGGAAAATCGGCCGGGCGACGCTTTTTGCCATTCACCCGAGCGCTCGCTCGCTACGATGCATTTGTATCGTTCCAAATAAGGACGAACGAGAAGAAGCGCGGAAGGTGACGACGTTTGTTGCTCCAGCGATGCCGCTCTTCGCCACCAACCCGTTCGATCAAGATGTTGGTGAGTGTTGGAAGGCAGCCCACCCGGGAGGATGCTACATGCTAACGTTGTTTAGCTAGCGTCTCGACTGGCCGACCGCTTTTGTTTGAGGCGTCTCAAGCCGACGCGCGGTCGCCAGCCGTAAACTTGGAATCTTGTGCCGAACCGAGCGTTTGACGTGACGCGCGGGGTTACGCGTCAGTCACCCCTCGAGTGTGTTGTTGTTGACGACTCGGCTAGCGTTGCAACCCTGACACATCAATTCACCAACGTGATGACGAGCTGCCAATGTTTTCAACAACAGAAAACATCAACAACAAACAATGCATTTGCCTCCACCTTTTTGTCACTAATTCGCAAATTAGCCTTCAATCGAAATCACGGCGAAGCCTCCTTTTCAAGTTTGCCTTGTTCTATTGACAAAGTGATTCATCCGAGTATTTGTATGAGGTGCAGGTGCACAGTTCGAATACGGCTGTATTTTGTCGACAATGTGTCATTTCAATAATTCTACAGTAACCTGGCACCTTATTAACACGCCATTTTTTCCTTTCCCTATAACATGATTTTGAGGATCTATCGCTACTACGTCCTAATCCAATAACTCTGCAACAGAAGGAAGAAGAAAAGGCCACATCCACCCATTTTCCGATCCGCTTTATCCTCGCGGGGGGGGGGGGGGGGGGCGGCGGCC